CCCCCACCCCCCCCCCCCCGCCGCCCGGCCCGCCCCCAGATGAGAGTGAGCCACGGTCGAGCAATGGATGTGATCAGGAATTCCGCAGTTGCAAGTTCAATTAGAAAAAAATTAGATTGAACAGAAAAGTCTTTTTCCTGCTGAAATATTTTCGATTTTGTAGCGAAATTGATTTGGAATTATAGTGTTTTGCTTGCTACGAGTGGGAAATGAAAATTCAAAAGCAACTCCTAATTCTTCACTTAGTTTGTAGTGGTAGAAATTCAAAAACCGGATCGTTTCATCTGCAAATTTACGGAAGAAACGATAACATCACCCGAATTAGGTATCGCTTATCGACAAAAACGTGGTTCTTAAACAGTTTTCCTAGCTCAATGCAGTATTCTAGGTAAAATACAATGGGGATGCGGTATTCGTCCGGAGATAGTACGCGATGCTGATAATCCTGGATATTGGGTTAATAGTTCCTATTGTCCGATTCATCTTCATTTGAAAAACCCTAAGCAGCCACAAGTATTAGATGATGCAGAATATGATGACATCGATTGTAATGTGTCTCGGTCAGTAAATCATCTACAAGCTTCGTGTCTAATTCGAAACTCAATTGATTTCTGTAGATTGGATCGGTATTCGAGTGCGTTGACTTCTTATGGGTCATATTGACAATATATAATTGCGGTATTATTATAAGCTTTCATGAGCTCTATAAATCGGAGGCACCGCTACGTGTACTACATCACTTCCTTTCGACAATTGAACGCTTCACACCAACATCGTGAGTTATTTTAATTACCGAGTGAAACGAGCTGGTGTAATTGCTTTATACTCACTTTCGCTATTCAGGTCCTTGCGAAAATATCTAATTTATGACAACGCATGTGGTTTGTTTCTAACGTTCAACAGCCGCATTAAAGCAGGCAAAATAATCAAGACACCACGAACTGATGCACTGTGAATACTTCTTTAGTCACCATTCCACGTTGCCACCCTGCCACTACTAATTAATGTTCTAGATCAAAATTAACCTTAATTGTGGACAAATTTCATATCAGCAACCACAGCCGAAAAATGTATCGAACACAAACCAATCCAAACAAATACGATGAAGTCAAACATATTAACACTCAAATTTGTGAACAAACAACCTCAAAACTAAAACGCTTTCAAAACGCACTATCTTCCTACTCTGCACCCAAAAGTAAAGTCCTCCACCTACTGTTATTCAACCACCTAAACTGTAAAAAAGCAAGATCATCTCTATACCACACCCACTGAACATGATAAATACTGAACAAAAACAATTTTATTAAATAAATTTCCATTGCATTGGCAATAAAAAATTTGTAACACAGCCAAAAATCAAAAACTCCTCAAACCACTCAACTAAACGGAGATCACACCCAACTAGAGAAAACGGATACCGCAATAGCAAAACCCTCAAAATCCTCATATCCCTCAACTATATACAACATATGGATAAGAGTATGGTACCGATACCGTAACACAGCAAAACTTTCAAAATCCCCATATCCCTCAACTATATACAACATACAGAAGAGTACGATACGGATGCGGTACTACAGGAAAAGCCTCAAAATCCTCATGTACCTCAACTATAAGGAAGAGTGGAATACGGATTCCGTAATATTTGAAATACTAGAAAATCTGGTATGTTGGAAAAAATGTAGTCGTGTCGTATCGCGTTTTTTCGGTTTCGAAACGAGGATACGGACCGTATCAGGATTATGACATCCCTCAGTAAATCAATCAACAGAAGCTACATTAGTAAACGTATGCTTCAGTTAGACAGTAAATAAGATATAATGAAACCTAAAGGTACTTTGAACTTCCTAGACTAAAACAAACTTAAAATTGCTCTAACTCAAACTTTTCTTTACATGACTGTCTACGGCTACGGCGTAATCATGGCTGCTCCTTCGTATAATGTAATCTTCACCATTTTTTCTGTTTTACAGAGATTTCTTTCATGTATTTTTTCGCTCTCACGTTCTTAGCTTTGACAAACTAGTTTTTTAAACCTTTGGTAGCGAACAATTCCACCAACATGCTCGGTAACGAACGGTTTGGTGACCGAACATGTTCGGTTACGAACCGTTCGGTGCCGATCAACGAGCCCTGGCTTGGGGTTGTTGCATGCCTAACCGAGAAAGGGGTAGAAAAAAATGTATTAGTGTAGTTTTGTAGAATACTACACAGTCTTTAAATTGTACTACAAATGAAATAAAATACTCACGTGTAGCACATGTGCTTTGTGAACGCACCAAATTTTGAACATTCACACAGGATATTACAGTCAATGATAAAGTAACTAAATATATTATATTCATTATAGTGAGTGGAAGATACAATATTACTTATCTACATTTATATAGAACTTGAGTCTACGTACAGAAGAAAAGACAACCAATACAGAAGTGATTTAAGACAATTGGACACACATGATACCCATAACCTTGAGAATGTAACAACAGTAATTTTCATTCGATAACTGCTGTTACATTCTTATATTTATTAAACTCATTATTCAGAACAATGACCGTTCGAATCCTCTCGCCCTATGCAGATAAAAAGAAAATATTGTTTACTCTGTCGTCCTGTTATATCAGGCGCTGTCGCCAGGTGAAAATCCCTTTCACCAATTGAAAAGTCTAAGTTGATCGAGCAAATAAAACTTTATTTGTATTCAACAAAAACCTATCGAACCTACCAAAATACATCGTTATTTATAGCAAAAAATCAAACATTTAAGATGAACAAAATGATGCAACTCTAAATCACACAAAACTAGGATTATCTGGAAACCTATTATGTAATGAAAAGAGATTGAAACCCTATAAATGATGAAATAGTACCTAGAAGAGCGGAGAAGACCATTGATGTGATCCACTGTGGGCAACAACGTGGACATTAAGTGAAAAAATGAAAGTGAGATTTTTGGTGGTTTGACTAATGTAGAGTATACTTTGGCTCATGGCGGATTAAATAAAGCGAAAGATTTTGTTTGGGCTCCTTACTTTACTGCAAAACCTTTGTCACCAGCTAAGGACGTTTTTCAGCGACTTCGGAAAAAAATTCATTTTTTTCAGAGAAGATAGGAATAGTGTACTAACAAAATGTATATATTCGGAAAGTAGAACATGTGCTCTACCGATTCGAAAAAAAATTTTGTTTTTTCTTTTGTCCAGTTTAAAAAATAATTTTCCTTTCTGCACTACAGATTTATCCAAAAGGTGCCATCAGTAAAGTAGAGTTCCACGTTTTTCCACAGCTCCAATTTTGTTGAAAATTTCAGAGATAATTCTTCTCTATATGACACGTCTACTATAGATGCACAAAAATGCACAAATGCTTCTGGACCGAGGTATAGGATTTTCAAAAAACCTTGGTTTTCAAAGGTTTTTCTTATTTTTCTAACTCCCAAAGCACTTTTAGAGCAAAGTAATGACATTTTCGAATTCAGCGCAAGAAACTGCATCGAATGGTGTATCGCTCGGGTGGTTCTGAATCAAATCATTTTTCACCAAAACCCAGCTTTCGGTGAAAATCCTCTTTTAACAGTTTTCGTCCGTAATGACATTAAACTATGGGTCCGAAATTGACCTTAAACTACGGGTCTGCAAAGACCATAAACTAGGTTGATGATGTTCGGCTATGATTGTGGTACGGTCATGGACAAGGGCAGACCTTGGATCTCTGTATTTTGTAATCACAATTTGGGTGTGAGGGTACAGTCGAGATGATTACTTCAGTAGGAAGCGAAAATACTACATCTCCTCTGGTTCACAACGCAGTTTGTGAGCAGCCGTTAATTGTTCGGCCGAGGCCACACTCACTGATTATTATTTTTGTGAATGTCTCTGGGCTTCCGTTGTGCGCGAAACGGTTCAACAAAGCAGCGCAGAAGGTCGAGAAAGCTCTAAACCTCCAAAGAGAGTCCGATGACGTTACCGGATAGGAGCTGAGATCTTCAGGAAGTATAGGTCTTCAGTACTTTGTCAACCAGGCTTTACAACCACGCGTAGGTTCTTTCCTGGTCTGGAGATCTATGCCTCTGCGATCTACTGTAATTTCTAAGGCGTGAACGGCCTTAGAATCCGGTGCACAGTTACGTGGATACCATGGGTGTCAGATAGGTAGATGATTGTTAACTGTAGTCTCCTTCGCACTCGTGGCGCCGGTAGTAGGTCGGAAGTTGTGTACTCTGCAATGGCAACAAACACTACAACCTCTCCAACTCAAACTGCAACTATTTCACAAGAGAGACCTACTTTAATTACTTTACATCAGCTTTATGAGATCATTCACACTTGTGATGTTCATTTGACTGTCATCCGAATATGTGAAGTTTTGGACGTAGAGGAATGCGATGAGAATAAAGAGACACACTAGAATTTCATTAATTCTAATTTTGCAGAGACGAAATCTCAGTTCGAAAATTGGCGCAAAGCAATGACCGAAGAGAAAACCAATATGTACAGGTAATACTTCACAAAAGTGAATTAAAACAACATCCAAAACCACCGAAAAGAACAAGTGATTTCAGCGAAGTTGGCAATAAACAAAAGAAACGTCGTTTAACTGATTTGAACGAGGAGTTAGATGAGTTTGCTGCTGCGAACAATCTTACAGTTAACCAAGTTCTTGGTTACTTGATCCACCAGCGCAACCATCAAACAAATAAAAAACTTGCGCGATTTGGCAAAGAACTCTACGAAACTGACGATCTAAGTCAACCAAAAAATGAATTGACTTTAGATGAAACGCTGGCATTAATATCTCATCTCGATCTAAGTCGAAACCAGATAAATTTCCTCAAAACATTTTGTAGTTCTCATTTGACTATTTCTAACATACGTCAGAAACTATTCTAACAATATCTTGCCATCGCTTTCACGATGGAACACTGCTTCATCCACCAAAGAAACAGGGGTGTATGTGCAAGATAGAGAAACTGTTATCCAACTAACAGTGAAAAGAGTAATAGACATGCTACTTAACCAAAACGTCATTGTGCTACAAAAGCTCTAATATCGAGAAAAAACTGGCCATGATGGAGCTGGTACAATGTCTATTTACAAATCCGCTAATTCACCTATACGGCAAACATCTTCAGCAAAATGTTTGTACTGCTTAGTTTAAAAGCCTCTACAGGTGAAGTTTTATCGGTAAATCGAACTCCTAACAGCTCACATTGGTGTGGTCCACCAGCACCCATAGCTGAAAAAGAGTCTAAAGAATTACTCTATGCTGTGAATGGTGTATTTGTACTAACGAGGGAACCACCCGAGGTGATAAATCGATTTCAGGTTGGGACTATGTTTGTTAGAAAGGCCCTAACGAGTAGTGAAATACCCTATCTTGGTTCATCCCCATGGTGCTTCCTGGCAGAGTTATGAATTTTTCAAGTTTTCACACAAAAGCTCAAATTTTTTCGGAAAAGTTTTCTCGGCTTCTAGAGGTCTAATTGGACTTATATTTTTTATATGAGTAGTGGTCATGTACCTAGTTATTATCTGTAAGTTTGAACTCATTTGTCCAAAATTTCCGGGAGATACGAATTTTTCATTCGAAA